CATTATGAAAGAGTCACGGAGAACGATACTGATCATGGAGTTCCACGTTTCGACATGCCTAGAACATGGTCGAGCAATCGGTGCCGATGGTTCTGGATTCCCGGATTCACGGATTGATACACGGGATCGAGGCTTTTGCTCAAGTTTCCCGGGTCGCTTTTGTTCTTGTCGGTTAGTGGCTGTCGTTCGCCTGAGAGGCACAAGTGAAAAAAGAGGTAGCACTGCTCTTCATGTTCTCAGCGCGGGATAGTATGCTTGCCAGCGCGAGGATTCGCATAAATAAATGTCCAAGAGTACTTTAAATTGGGTTCTAGAAGGAGCGTGGACAACCATCTGCGGTAGATCATTCCACGCAGCTACTACCCGAGTTGAGAGAAATTTTGTCTAATGAATGTGTGCACTATGAGCTTGAAAATTTCTTACTATGTCCCTGCCGTGTGTTCGCTGGGTCAACGGTGAAAAACCTGTTTGCCAAGCTTTGTTCAAACAGGGCATAAGTAAGAATTAGGTCTATTCGGATGCGGCGGTACTCCAGGGGAAAGAGATCAAGCGTCGCGAAATGCGTTTCTTAGTCCGCGGATTTGAGGCCGGGAACAATTCTCGTAGCGGCTCGCTGAACACGCTCAATGAGGGTGACGTCCTTCTTGCGTCCTGAATAGACATCTTGGTTGGCGTACTCCAGGAGTGGTCTGACACAGGCCCCATAGAGTATTTGGAAGTGCATGCGAGTAATGCGGGAGAAGGTGCGTCAGATCATCCGTACGATGGCGAATCCCTTTGGGCCGGTTTCTCATGATGCAGTGAGAAGGACAAGTTTGAGGAGACCCAGCTACCCAAATCTTTCTTGGCATCTATCCTCATGATACTTTCTGGTCCATCTCAACATGCATGACAAAGGCATTCGCTGAGTCTCCTCTAAGTTACATATGGACGCACTTTTCGTCATTAAGAGGAAGATGCCAGTCCAACGACCACTGCTTCGACATCCCTTTGGAGTACAGTGGCATTGCAACTCTGGGATTTCAAGTCGTCCGCAAAAAGTAGATATAGATTTGCAAGAACATCTGGGAGGTCTTTGATGCAGATCAGGAAGAGCACTGTTTTTAGGACGGGGCCTTGAGGAACTCCAACGGAGACCGGCGTTGTGAAGAGTAAGTCGAGCCTATTCTTACTCGGAATGATCTGTTTGATAGGAACGCCTTGATCCAGCGAAGGATTTTCCGTTTAAATTCTCTGTGTCCAAATTTGATGTGCATGTGGACTTATCTTTTTTGCGCAATTAATGCCGCCTGACCAAGAAGCAAGTTTGCATTTCTAACAGTAGCATGTCCGAGCAATCTTATAAAGGTATAGACGAGAGTAAATTAAACGTACATATTTTATTTTAGATCCACCATCGGGTGAAAATCGTCAACCGAAAAACCAATGGAGTGGCTGTCCGATATTATTGTGCCATTCAATAAATAAGAACATTTTTTCGACGGTGGCCCTATAATTTCTTAGCTTGGGTATGACAAGTTTGTTACGGCTATCTGCTTTCTGAGTTTGATTCACACGTGCCAACCCAGGAAAACGACCAAGAAATCCGAATTCTGGAATCACGATACTATTGCAAATATAATAATATACATATTAAACAAACCTCAACGCATTCTCCTCCGCAGATACCTTAGGGTTACAAAAATAAGGCGGTACGATTTCCAGCCTGAGGATAAGGCGCGGATCACTACGCCTCGAAATCGATATCGTCACAACCAAACATATATCGACGGCGAGCAACCGCAAAATCACAATGTCCGACCAAAGTCCGTAAGAGATATAAAAATAGTTCAGTAAAACAAGAAGGTTTCAGTTCATCTGGTCAAAGGGAATAAATATGGGGATTGGCTGTCACTTGGGGTTGGAAAACTGGAGCACACTGTTGGCAAGCTCTCTTCTACAAAGGTAACAACGCACAAGGCTATGATGATGAAGCGCAATCTCTTTAACCGTTGGATTAGACTATTTCGCCTGGTTGCGGCCTCAAAATCAACATCGCACCTGGACGCGAGCTAAGAATTTCCGATAAGTAGACAAGATGTGCGAGAGTGTGTGCAGTTGTCTTTGCGACCGACAATTGTTGGTTTTATTTTCCTTGAAGGTGGTTGGGGTTTATGACGTATTCTTGTAAACGAGCGTTATTGTTGCCTGTGAGAATGATATCGCGGGTTTAATAATTAACGTGCAACTATCTAAAGACGCTACACTATCTACTGACTAGTTGTGCATATATGTAAATTGAGATCACCTACAGATATGACATTTGCATCGCCGCTGCACAGTCTATCTAATTGTCTTCCGTTGTCATGCTGAACGGAAGGCGAGCTTCGTAGATAGCCTGTTGTGTTGAAGTTTTCCGGACAAGCTCATCTCAATTGCTACGTCCGGGGCGTATAAAGCATACAAATGCTATTAACCTATTCTCCTGGGTGGAACTTGGATGGGATATTCTGTAGATGCCGCCTCATTTTTAAAGAACTCCTTGGATGGGGAAAAAGGCTGAATTTTGATTCCGTGATTTATCCAGTATACTGCCATCCAAGTGGGAATCAGTGGCAGTCGGTGACCTTGAAATTCCGCTCAATCGAAAAAATGCTTCAAGCAGCATATCAACGGAATATGCAAAGTGATTAGAAAAAAACTCCGTGTAAAATTCTAAGTTTCAAAACCCCATATTTTCGGTTAAATTAACTTCGGTTCATTTTCAGTGACAGGATTCGATTGGGATCATGGGTGCGATGGGTGCATGCTTTTTGAAAAGTGAGAGGTTTTCACCACGCAATTGATGTCGGTGCAGGATACATGTGACAGAATAGATCGGACATGACGGAGCAGTAGTTTTCTTTGTGATCGCGAACTTAGCTTCTACCTGGAAGAAGGACTGATGTGAGTTAATAAGTAGCGGAAAATTGTAAGAGAGGAAAGTGGAAGACGTTGCCATGTATTTACATTTGAAAGGGTCAGCAGGTGTCAATCAAGCTTTATAGGGAATTGATCATTTCAATAAAAATTCTCTGGGCAGAAGTGAACCATGGAGGAGTTCACTGAAGGTTTAGTCCCCCTGTTGGCAACTGTCCAGTACATCTACAATCCGGTCTAAATAAAAACGTGAGATGAAAGTTAACAATTTTGACATCAAACACTGTTTCGTAAAAGTACATCATATGAAGGAAGTTTTGAGCGTAATTCGAGGTTTCTGGGGCTTCTATGGCAGTTAGCATTGGGTGTGGCGATCAGTGAGGAATGTGGTCATATGATGAGACAGCAACGTTGTGAAATTGGTAAGGACTTGTAAGTCTTCGAGAATGGGTAAAAATATTACGGAATTATATACTAAATAGGACCACGACAACCCTCCGTCAGTAGGCAATTCATCTTTAATACATTGAAAAAACACTTCAAATATCTCTCATTGGTCCTCGAAAGATTCGGTGCTTTGTATTACTTGCGCCGTCTTACAGACATTTTACGAAGTCCACGTCCGGTACAATCAAGAATACGCCCTCAAGGTTGTCCGTCAAGAAAGCGAGATCATAACCGTCATTGGGCATTCCAGAAGAGCTGCTACGACGGTGATCGCTAGCTTTAATCAATTGACCAAAACATGCCTGAGAACCTTTGATCTCTTCCTCTTAATACTACTTCCGCCTATGAAGAGACCTGATACTTGCCTATGCAGAGTTTGGCCTGTGGTGGTCTGGCAACGCAATAAGTTACTTTACCAGGGGTGTGTGGCAAAGAAATAAAAATAATAACGCTGGATTGAGTATGCAATAATAAAGAGGTCAGACGGCACAGACTCACTAATAACCGTTCTCTAAGGTAATTCGCCGCTGGCCCGCGTCAGCGAATACACAATAATCCAATTATGGTGGTCCAGGGGTCTTCTTCTGAATAGTTCCCACTTATAATGGATTCCGAAGATGGTCCGAAATCTTTTGATACCTGTTTAGGATATCAGTATCCCCCAAAAGCGCTTACTTTTCGAGTTATTGCCAATTTATTTTTCAAAAAAATTTAATTTTTAAATTGCGCGCCTTTTCCGCCCCGTTGCATCTCAATCCAAAAAGGCCGCGCTGTTCTCCTATTGGCCACTTATACTTTGTGTGCATTAACTGATTTATCGCTCTCCAAAGTCGCTCGAAATGTATATATGTATATACGACGTTGCTCTCACTGCAATTCGCCTTTGGTTGAGGCAGTAAAAGCCCTCTTCTGAAGGTCTGGTCTTCTCTCTCTGCACTAGGAGTGGTTGGGCTCGCGTCATAGCTGGGGATTCGTGCGCTCGTTCTCAGGTCGCGTGTAGCCGTTGATCGTACCCGATTCCGATACATATCAATACTAGAGTTAATATATGAGTCTCGCGAATGACCACTGCAAGGGCGAGCGAAATCAGAAGAGAGAGAGTCGGAGAACGTGACCACGTTTGTATTGCGTAAATTTTTTACGAGTGCGCGTTTTTGTAGTTTTTCGTATTCAAACAAAAAACGATTGTGCAATCGACGAAATACGTAGTGTTATAATGAAAGCAAAATAAATTTTAAAAACACCATAGGCGGATATATTTTTCTGCCACAAAACATAATAACACGGCGGTGCGCGGTGAGAATCATGAAAGGTTTAGTGTGCTAAATTTTTTTAGACGGAAATTTTATCATTTTGAGCAATGGATGAATGGGAAAACCTGCCTCCGTCGCTTGTGCACTGTCCATATGAGTGAATTTAAATCCATTTTGGACGCATTTTCGTTGTTGTTCTACCTGGCAAGCTTACCGCTGAAAGATAAAAAACCTGCGGACCAATGCAACAGCTTTGCCTTTCAGCTAGATCGGAGAAGCCGGAGGAGAAAAACAAATCCGACTCTGTCCCTGAACTGAGACTTACTGTATGGTGTGCCAACTCAAGGTCATCAACACTACGAGTGGGAACATTCACCAATCAAAATGCCTGGTTTAACACTGCTTGTCTGTCTCTTTGACGACTTCCACCCCGGATTACCGTCGCCTTCTGCACGATGACTTTTGGAATTGATGTTCCTTCAGTGGCTGATTTTCTTGGTAATATCGATGTTCAGAGTGAACAGCTTTTCGGTATGTTGCGTCTTAATCTCGGAGTATTATTTTACTGTGTGTGGTTTCGGTGGGTGTCTTTTCACGTGACCGAGTACTTGACAGTCCAATCTTACACTATGGCAAACATTTTTCAAATGGTCTGGTCCGTAGTTCAGTAGCAGAGCGGTGGTAGACAGTTATGGAGTATATTACGGGTTAACAAACAAAAATAAATTGCAGCATGGAGTGTACGTAGCGGGTCGCGATCAAAGTAAACGGTGCAAACAATCGGAAATTCGCTTTTGACTTAAACAAAAAGCCCCCGTTCACCTCAAGCACTTATGTACGCTGCGTAACCCTCGAGAATGTCGAGAATTGGAAGGCAGTCTTCGACAAGGTAAACGAAGCACAGTATAGTATAAAATAGGGTTGTCTATACGGAGACCAGAGGCGTTTGTTGTGCCGAACACAACCCGTTGCGAGGAGTTATCAGACGTCAAGTGTAACTGAGCGTGCGAGCCGACCGTGAAGTGTGGTGGACACAGAAAACCAAGGGAATGGAAAAGGCCCAGAAAGCCGGTAATGCCCCAAGATTATTTTAGCTCATCCCTGCGACCGGGCTTCGGAAAACACCTGTGAGGGAAACCATCAAACATCAGAATGGAACGCCTATCTCGAATAAAGAAGAACGCCTCGACCGGTGGGCTGAATACTTCGAACAACTGTCGTGGCCACCAGCCGGCACACATCTACAGCCCACAGGTGAAGTAGGACCCCGGTCGGTGAACATGGAAACAGCTACGGCCTCAGAGGTTTACGACTGCATATGTTCTCTCAAGCGCCACCGAGCTTCTGCTCCGGATGACCTCTCACCCACGCCATACGTATAAGCGACCCACAGTTCTAGTATTCCTGGATTTCCGAGGCGCATTCGACTCGGTTGATCGGTCTGTTCTTCTTGAGACGCTTGCCCATCAAGGAATGCCCCGGAAATTTGTAAACATCATACGTTCTTTGTATTCTCAGACTTCCGGACGTGTGAGAGTGTACGGGGAGCTCTATAAAAGCTTCCCTACACAAAGCGGTTTCCGTCGTGGATGCCCACTGTCCCCATTCCTTTTTAACCTCGTGATCAATGAAATAATGAGACGAACGCCGGAGGGTCT